GCAAGTTTTAGACCAGAACATTTGTAAGCAGTCCAGAGTAAGACCTGTGTTAAAGAACTTTCAATCGGTTTCTACATCAGTGGTGATCATTCGAACTTTTCAAATCCTTGTGCAAAGCCGTTTGCAGAGTTTTACTTCGTGTCCGCTGAAGACAATGTTTCCCTTTGATTCTCTGGTTGCTTCTGAAACCAGATCGTCGGATGATGCTCCATTTCTCACAGCGCAGCGCAACAACAAGGTAGTAATCGGTTGACAGCTCCGCGCCTCTCTTAATGCTAACATCCATTGCAGAGTATTAAGTTTGTTACGGTTTTACTATATTACATTAATGTTATATTAAGCGTCAAGTAGCTTGTAATTTTTCACGAAAATTTTTGTTGGGGTAGAATTGAGTAAAATTTATCTGATTTTGCTTTAGGTTCGATTTATAAACTAACTTGCGACTGCTGGAAAACCGCATCGGATTAATCGGAAATACTGCCATCCAAAGAAAAAGCTACCACCAGTCACACTGGAGAAGAGTGTGACCGCCGACGAACGCGAATGACATGTGGCAACAAAGCATTCTGGAAGAAAACGAACCCTCCATCCAAACAAGATCAAAAAACAACATGAGAAAGCAAACCGCAACAGCGATCGTGCAACGCGGCTGAGAAACACGATATCCAACAATGGTTAAATTGTGCGGGCACCATTAAAGGAAGAAGCTGAGTAGACGAAAAGAAGAAAGCCTAATTATCTAATCCTGGGAAAACGTCAACTGGACAAAAAGACTCTGCGTAAATTGGATAAGCCTTATCAATCCCGTGACCCAGACTACTGCCACTGGCTACTAAGACTACTACTTAACCAGCAGTATAGGCAAAACGCACACCTTCGCCTCCAGGCTGCAGACGTCACAAAAACTGCGCACCACACAAGTACGCGTATAAGTCAACCCGGAGGAACACCATGAAGAATGTTCATGAGAAACTTAAACGTCGGTACTGGTCAATCTGGTTATTGAAATAAGAAAGAAAAATAAAACGATTTTATACATTTTCAGTCTTCAAGGATACCTTTTCCACAAATCTGGACTAGTTAGTGGACACCCTCCCTTTACGTGCTCAGACAATGTAATCCGATTTGATGATAGTGCCCCTTATCGTCTGAACTGGGGATGAAGTTCGTCAGCGTTACGAATTTTCAGTCAATCTGCAATTTTTACGGACACGAATGCTACTTGAGAGGGAAAAAATAACGTCGTCACTTACAAGACCAATAAATTTAGTTTTACTTGAACGCCCGTGTCTCAGGGTTAGCGAATAAAGTAATATTAGTGCAAACAACGCGGACAGAGAATTGTTCACAGATCGTCATTTCATTAAAGTTTCATTTCAAACGGCTTAAAGGAACGTTCAATGAAAACAAAAAAGACAAATGAATGGATAACAATCGAATCAGTTTGCACATTCGTAACTTTTAACAATTTCAATGAATAGACATGCGACCGCGTCGAAAAGAAGCTGTGTTGCTGTGTTCGTTCAGCTTTACAAGTATACGAATATACTGTTTAGAACGAGTACAAATCATATATGATACAGTAGAACAGCATACAATATACGAACGTTACTGTTTGAAATATTTCTGACCATTGGTGTTACAGCAGTGACACAGACAAAAAAATTCAACGAATGTTAAAAAGGTCACTTTCCCTCAATCGGTTCGAAAAAAGTGTCGCCTCGTCGCAGTTTTCTAAAAATGGTAGCGATTAGACAAAACAAGATATCTTACAATCGCTTTAACTGTAAGATGCAAACAGAAGCGAATACAAGTACTTACTTGGTCAACGACGGCTCGCGATAGTTGATTCTGCTTCGTCGGCGAAAGGACCGCCGCGTTTCGCTTGATGACGGCGACAGAGATGTTCCTTGAGATTCAGAACTGTCGACGGCTTCTCGTTCAGGCGTAGTTATGGAGGAAGACGCCGAAAATCGCCTGTTGTAAACGGACGTCGAACGAGGAGTAGAAACAGCGTCTGAGTCAGATTCTGCACCAGTGTCCTTGTCGGCAGTGGATTCGGCACTGACAGGGGTGGCGTTATTTGTGACTGAAATGTCTGCAAATGAACATCCAAAACAGGCCGCGTTAGAACATCGTTGCAAATCGGCCGCAGAAAAAAATGACGTTCACGTCCTAATTCTGACTTAGCGGATTTTAGATAGATTCACGTTCGCAACATTAGTCTCTCGGCAGGAATCTTAACCTTCACGATTTGGATTCACCGACTTTCGAGAAGAAAGTAAAAAATGCATTCCACAGTAGACATATCCGTCTCCCTTGGACTTTCTGGCCGGATGCCGTTTGTGGATATAAGGAAACGCTATACCGTTAGCCATAAGTATCGTACTATTTAAAGCGACACCTATAACGCCGAACCACAGCTGTTAGCTATTCTTATATGCCCCCAACGTCGTACATAATGATGATAATGCATACAATCAAATGCGATTTGGAGTATATGTTATGCTAATGAAGAGTGGAGAAAACAGATCGACCTTTTGATGCGACGGTTTTTGATGTAGTGGTAGTCTGATCGAGCATTACCAAGAAATGTTCACTAATTCAAACGTTTCGATCGTAGGACAGTGGTTTTCTTGAATGTAAAAAAATACTAGTTATGCACAAACAAAGTTAACTTACAGCAGAGAATTCTAGCATTCAGGATCAGTGAGACTATGTTGAAGTCAATAAGTCATACAACTGAAAAAAAGACTGACCCGATCTCACTGCACCGTACAAATCTTGAATCACAACTGATCGATAAGTCAAAAAGAAACTAGATTTTTACTCGACTCAAAGAAATAACCAGGAAGATGCATGCTAGGAAGAGATATCACTTTACATCAGGTCACGAGATAGAATAAGGTCAGCCATGCGCGCTGCTGCGACAATTTCAATCAGACAGCGAATGTGAAGCGCGGAAGTTTTAAAAAAGAAAGTAACGTTGCTTTAGCTAAAGATCGGTTTCGCAACCTGGCTTCAATTTAGACTTCGACATTTAGCTGTTGACAAGCAACAAGTATCAGCTCCCATTCTGCCTCAGATTCGTTGATTTTGACAAGGCTTTCGACTGGGGTACACCCAATGTGTACTGGATTCTTTAAGGAGCCAGGAAATCAAGAAAAGATAGACATATCATCGCTACGATTTACAAGAATGCAACACATATACTACTACATTTAGTATACAATTTCACAAAACCACAAGCCTGTTGAAAATCAGAACAGGCGTCCATCACGGAGACACAATAACACTGAAGATATTCAAGCTCTAAAAGAGGTTTTTAAGATACTCCAGGGAGATCAAGGGCTAAAGATAATGCGTACTACTTAAGACACCTGCAGTTTGCGGATGATATTCCGATTCTCTCGAGATCAAAAAAAGAATTTCAAAGAAGAATCCATGAGCTAAAGGAGGGCTTAAAATGAGCCTGAAAAAGATTCAAATTGTCTAAAAAATACGCAACCCAGCGACCCGTTGAAGGTAATAAACGTAGGTGTGAAGAGATGCAAAACTACGCCTATTTGGGATAGCTTATCTTTGCAACGGCGAATCAACTACAGACGAACGGACGAATAAACATGGTTTGGAACTTTAATGGAACACTGAAAATGTTGTAATCTAAGTAACTGCTCTTGTGCTTGAAATGGAAAATTTTCGATCAGTGTATCATTCGAGTGCTAATGTATGGGTGCGATATGTAAAACCTGCGCCTGAAATCTGTTCATCAACTGCAGACTATGCGACACGGCATGAAAAGATGCACTTTGGAAATATCAAGGAAAGAGAGAAACACAACCGCATCAGTTATAGAACAAACAAAAGTTGGCGATGTTATCGCATAAGTGAAGGAACTGAAGCGGAAATGGGAAAGACACTTTGCAATAAGAATCGACCATTAGGATCAGAGAAATATTAGACTGATTTCCCACCGAAATGAACGGACCGCAGAAAAACCTCGAGATCGACGACAGAATTAGCTGAAGAATTTTTTGAATTAAGAGGAATAAGAAATCGCAGAAAACAGAAGTCTGTGACGAAATCTTGAAGGGGTCTTCATTCAACAGAGATCTGAATATGGCTAATGATGACCTAGCCATCACTCGCCAGAGAAAGACGTTTGTTGTTGCTTTATGTCATCATTTTGAGCCGTTTCTGTATTAATAAAACATATCCAATTTGCATCCGGCCACATTCCCAGCTTTTCAACACTTTTATACTGCTGAAACAGCGTTGTGAGAGAAAAATCTGTTTTTTTTCGAAACGTCAATTTGCCTGAACCTTATTCATTTGAAAGAAAAAGTAAGATTACTGTTGGAACATCTAAAAGCAGTCAACAGCCAGTGTAGCATTTTCATCGTATTTAAAGAGACTGATATGGCCAGGCTGACGAGGCATGCGGTAATGATTCGCATTCCGCTTGAAATATGGCACAGAACATAATGAAAAAATTGTTAAGAGAGCGCTGAGGAAGCGTCCTTCTCCGAGATAAGACGAACTGATGTACGCCGCAAATAGCTGGACTATGCAGTCGAATGATCACGATTCGAATGCGGTCGGGTCAAAGGTCTACTATTTTCACTGAGGAATAGGCATAAAAATTTCATCGCTATGTAATGAAAGTAAGCACAGGACTCTGCACTATTGTGACTCCTCAACTGAAAATACTACTTTCCAAAAAAATGGCAGTCCTGATATACGCTTTCAGATTTTATTCCGGTTGGCTGCAAATACATAAGTTTTTCAGCGATTTTTCAACATTTGCCTTAAAGTACTTAGGACATTTGTCATGTTGTCGTAAATGCCAGCTCGTCAGCCGACTGTTTCATGTTCACGTTCATGACACCATGACTTACAGGCTAAAGCGAACCACTCCTAAGAAATTCGCTTAGCATTCCTAATCCAAGTCTGACAGTTTTTCGCCTTCCCACACATAGACGCATGAATGGGCTAACAGAACTCTACAGTAGTCTGTGAAACAAAGGCAAGGGACAAGTCCCAAACTTCCAGATCAGTATTACTTTGTGAACTCACCGGGTAGATGCCAAGCGTTCAACCATCATTCAGTTCATTCTAAACGAGTTGTCTGTCGGCAATTGTAATCCACCGAAGGTACAACTGTGCGCTCTTATTCTGAGGCTGATATTATGCACCTGATTTTTCACCCAATATCAGTCTGCTGTCCTTGGCAAAGATCTCTGCAGATATGAAGGAATCTTTGCAGGATACTATCAATGAACGTGCTACCACTCTTAAAGCATTATAACTGTTTCATTGGATGATCATTTCTATGATAGCGATACGTTGCTATGGTCATGATGAACAATTCATCCTCTTACTGCAACTAAGCATGGAACGTCGGTATTCGAAAGTTTAACACTCTCCACCACAGTGTGAGAGGCACTGAAGTTCGAAGGGTAGGGCAAAGCAGCACTAACGATAAATCAGAGTAACTTAATAATCACGAATTGCAAGAAGGACAAGTATCGCAGTGCTACATGGTGCGGATTTAAACTTTCTATCTTACCTTCCTACTACTACAGCGCACCAGGAAAAAACACAAACAGCTTATCATCATAGTCTGCATCGCGATGAGGACAAAAAACGCGAAAATGTAGTAAATTACTGTGAAACCTAAAGAGTCAAAGTAAGTCAAGTGTGGTTCAGTCAGGTGAAACATCAACATACAGTAACGCACTTCAGCGCCGCAGCAAATTTGACATATACCAGTGGGGAATGTCCTCATCTCAGTGTTTGAGGTGACAATAACAGGAGTAAGAATCTACGACACTAACGAAGTAAGGTGGGGTGATTTTTCTTTTGTGATTACAATTGAAAAGAAGGCTGCAAAGGAACCTCCAAACTTTGGCTAGCTGGCCACCGATAGATTTCCTCGTAGTAATGCTTGACAAAATGAATTATCCAACGTCGCATATAGCACA